ATAGTGCTGGACTGTAAGGAGTTCCTATGGAAATTAATGGATGGAAGATTTCAACTCAGAGATAAACATATATTTGTAGTTGTAGGCTATAGCAATTTTCTTCTGGAGAAGATAAGTGTTATTTCAATATTTTAGTCTACAGTTGTTATCTGAGTGCATTTTAGTTAGTTTATATGGGGTTGGAGAGTTTTAGGTTCTTTTACAACAGATAAAATATAAAGTTACTACATTAGGCTTAATACTAGAATAATAAAACTGTTACATATTAGATTGAAATAAATTATTTTCAATAGCATTAGCTAAGTAAAAAGAGAAACATCTTCACATAAGACATCTTTATTTTTATAACACGGTGGTTGTCCTTTGAAACCTTCAGATTTAATAGATGCAATTAATTTAATTTAGTTGAATAAAACATTTCATAAATATTTGAATGATGAGGGCTGACTTTGAGTGTATTACTTTTATTTTAGAGTTAAGTATAGTGGATGGGACAGCCTAGATGGTTGTCCTTAAGTTATATGTAAATACGTTTTTAGTTTTATTTTACTCAAGACAACTTAAACACCATAAATAAGAAAGCATCTTTAGTAGCAAGGATATAAATATTCAACACACTTACTCAATACCAAGAGAGAGTAAAGACACACAGACCACAAAGACATCTAACATGTTGAAGGCGCTACGGCAATAGGAAGCCTTGTGAAGAATAAGACCATATGCTACAGCCTGTAAAATAAATAAATAATTAAAGGAGTTCATATTTATTCACATGAAAAAAGTATACAATAAATAAATTACCTATATAATTCGTAAATCTAATTTAATTTCAATGTACAGTTTTTTTTTTGCTTGTTGTTCAGCCCAAAGCTGCACAGTGCTGTGTTCACTTCAGCAATCAAATCCCAAATTCTTAGTGTCATAAGTCTATACAACTATAGTCACCAGTGTTGGAATAGCTCTTCAGGAGGATTAGGAATTTCACCTAAAATGAGGGTGCCTGCTTATGTGGGGTTCCATAAACAAGCAAGATGCATGGTCAGAATTGTCGTTTAAAGCATTGAAAAAATTCACTTGTCTCCTTTGTAGTTTTGTCACCAAAAAATTACTTCAAAATAGTACATTTAAGTGATATTTCTATTTTTGAAAATATTTTAATGTATCTTATTTAACTTAACATAATTAAAGGACAGCAAGGGACCTTTTGGTTTGTCCAAACCATCATATCCACGAAATTGAACTATACACTTAAAAAAAAACCCTCAAAGCCAGCCTTTATCTTTCAAATATCTATCAAGCTTTTCCTTAAGCTCCCTTCTATTATCTGCATCTACCATATCTGAAGCCAACCTGTAACAAGATCAAGCATCCTCTTACAAAAATAAAGCTTTCTTAAGTGAAGATGACTCTTACCCTGCCAAAATTTATATCTGCATTTCCTAGTCTTAGCATTTTCCTCATTAAATACGAAAAAAGATGATTAATCAACATTACAAATTCCATTAACAATCTTAAATGCTTTAATCAGATCCTCTCTAACTATTCTTTTTTCAAAAGAAAACAAGTTTAGAGATCTTAACATGTCCTTAACCACCCTTCCATTCAAGGTATCATCCTAGTAGCCTTCCTCTGAACCCTTTCCAACAATTCAATGTTCTTTTTAAGGTAAGGATCCCTAGACTGAATACAATACTCCAAATGTGGCCTAACCAATGATCTGTATAGTGATATTATAACCTCTTTAGATACAACCTAAAATCCTTCTTACCCTGCCACTAGCAACAGCAAATTGCTTGGGTGACTTTAGAGATTGATCAACCAGAACACCAAGATCATTGTCTTCCATAACACCGTTAAGGTTGCTCCCATCAAAATTTGTATATCCCATATGCACTATGTTGCATTTATTATAATTAAAAGTTATCTGCCAATTTATTCACCCAACTCACCAAATAATCCAAATCCTTTTGTAAAGCAATAGCATCCTCCTTATCCACTCAAAACTTTAATACCATTTAAATAATCTATTGATAATTCTTCATCTGTCATTGATGTAAGTCGAAAAGAAAAAAAGGTCCTAGCACTGGGCTCTGAGGTGCCCCACTAATCGGGTAAGACTAAACTCCATTTAGAACAACCCTCTGCTTTCTTACATCTAGCCAATTTTGTATCCAATGAACCAACTTATCTCCCACACCTACAGAGTTGTAATACTAAATATAAAATACATGCATTACTTAAACACCAATTTAACCAACTAAACTCCATTTAGAACAACCCTCTGCTTTCTTACATCTAGCCAATTTTGTATCCAATGAACCAACTTATCTCCCACACCTACAGAGTTGTAATACTAAATATAAAATACATGCATTACTTAAACACCAATTTAACCAACTAATATGGAATGTTTCATCTTTGAACACTTCTCTGCAATCATGTTAACAATGTTTTGATAGTCAAAGTTTCTTATAACATATTTTTCCATACAAAATAATCACAACAACCTCCAAATTTTATGAATAAAGAACTTTGTGCGGCAGTCTTAATTCTTTTTAAAGTTGAAAAGCTTTCACAAGTGATTTGAGTCATAGAGAGTTTCAACAATATCTTGTTAGCTTTGGAAGTAAGACCATATAGAATGTGGCTTAGATTATCTTAATATAAAAATTAATACACATAGCAAACTCAGTTTCTTCCTGACTTTCAGATGACCAGTCCAACTTATTCAGTTTCATTTTGGGGTTAGTTTCATCTAATTACTGAATATAGTGATCTTTAAGTTAATGTTTGAATTTTCGCCAGATCAGAACTAAATTAACCACTTGCTTTTAAAGGTTCAGCAAAACATTTTTTGGCTCCATGAGCAATTCAGACAGACTGTGTCACATAGTTTCACAAGTTCCTTCTGCAGAGGAGTGTAGCTCATATATGTTAGCTTCTTAGTTTCTTCATAACTGGGAAGATTGAACAAATAACATTTTGCAAAGAGTTCACCATTTCTGAAGAATCAACTATTCAAACTTGACAATACATTATCTATGGTTATGTTAAACCGTTCAACTTGTTGCTTTTTGAGGTTTTTTCGTGAAGTTTATGGAATACTATTTCAAACATTTCTTCTTGTATTGATACTGACTTCTAGTACACCAGTTTCAACTATACAGTTATCAAGCTAATTTATCATTCACTTTTTTTCAAACAATTCAAAGTTACGTGCCTTACTTTGTTAAGTGTCATTTCCTGAACTATGATATAATCTAGCTGTTTGGAGGTATTTTGATAATGGACCCAATGTACCAAAGAGAAAGATTCAAGCTGTCACAGCCATTCCTTACTTTACAACAGATATCAGAACAACATGCATATCTAACTATGCTTTAGTATCTTCAGAAATCTACTTCACTAGAAATGAATTCATCAAAAAGGACAACTGATGCACCTCTTATTTTTTTCCCCAAACATTTTCTCTACAGGATAGTCACCCCCCCCCCCCCTAACTGGTTGTTCTTATCTGCAATAATCAGTTCAATGTGTCTGGTTTGATTTTGAATTGCATATGTGTATTCCATACAACCATTTTTAAACATGAATCTTGAAAGAGTTTGCACATTTTTTAAAAAGGCTGTCCAGATTCAATACCAATAGCTGTTAACCATGTTCAGCAAACAGGCATAAGACCAAATGTGGATATTGCCTGATGAAGTTTTCTCCAACCAAGCAGTAGAAACCACTGTATATTCCACTCATATCTTATACTGAATGCACCATCTGTTTCTAATTTTGTCAGCAATTCACTGAGCCAAAGATAGTGTAGTGCAACCAGTGTGCAATCTGCAATTTATGCAAATTTTTATATATTATTTTATCTTAAAAGTTAACTTGTTTTATGTATTTAAAGTTATCATTTAGAAATGGGCCTGGCATCACCTGGTGGTTAGGGTGCTTGACTCACAATCTGAGGGTCATGGGTTTGACTCCCCATTACACCAAACATACTCACCCTTTCAGCCGTAGGAGTATTATAATGTGCTGGTTAATCCTACTGTTTGTTGGTAAAAGAGTAGCCCAAGAGGTAGCAGTGGATGATGGTGACTAGCTGCCTTCACTCTAGTCTTTCACTTGCAAATTAGGGATGGCTAGCACAAATAGCCCTCATGTAGCTTTGCACAAAGCTCAAAACAAACCAAATCAAACTTAGATAAATTACATGGAATGAAATAACATAGGACTGCAAAGTTAAACTTCATAAAAGTTGTTCTGGTTTTAATAACGGATTTTCCATAAGTCAGCTACACAGATTTCGAAAGTAATGTTAATTTTTTTCTATCAAGTAAGGATTTTTTACAAATCAGAAAGAAAAAACTTACTTCAAATTATTATTTCGTTTACCACAATGAACATATTTTTTATTGTTATGTTTGTTAACAAAAATATAAATAAACTGAAGAAAAGGGAAGAACACTGATATCAACCGAATATGCATCCTCATTCATCCTGATTTTGTTTCTGAAATTTACATCTTTTAGTCTCAAAACTACGTGTTGTGGTCTTTCTTTTATGTATTGTGTCTGGAGCATCTCGTTTAAATGACCAGCAGTAATCAGCCATGATGCTGATGTTCCACTTTCCCTGATACCTCCTCTCCATTTCCCTGATGTCATGATGAAACCTTTCCCCTTGTTCTTCGCTCACAGCACTAAGATTTTCAGGGAAATAGTCAATATGTGAGTGTAAGAAATGAACTTTCAAGCTCATATTATAACCCAACACTTTGAATTTATTGAGCATGTTATTGACAATATTTTCGAAATTTGGGTCCTTGTTGTTTAACAAAAATTTGTCAATAACACCTTTAAAGGCAATCCACGCTTCTTTTTTCAACTTTCCTCATTGTCCTTTCGAACTGTCCATTCAAAGTCAATTTCCTAATCTGAGGCCCAACAAAAATCCCTTCTTTAAGTTTGATTTCTGAAAGAGCTGGGAATTGCTCACATAGATACTTGAAACAGTCGCCATCTTTGTCTCAGGTCTTTACAAACTGCTTCATCAAGCCCAGTTTTATGTGAAGTGGAGGTAATAAGACTTTCTTTGTGTCAACCAAACTTTCACTTTCAGTGTATTTTGATCCTAGTATCAGGTTGACTCTGCATGGCCATTGCTTCTTTATCCAGTGCTGATTTCTTGCTCTGCTGTCCCACACAAAAAACATGGAAACTTTATATAACCAGATTGTTGACCCAACAACATACAAAAGACTTGTAAGTCTCCACAAAGTAGCCAACCATGTTCTTTGTATTTGACCTTATTAAGAAGAAGTTCGAGATTTTCGTATGTTTCTTTCAAGTGAACCGAATGAGCTATATGAACAGATGCATATATGTTACCATTGTGAAGGAGAACATCTTTTAGACCTTTTTTCGAGGAATCAATGAACAATAGCCACTCACTTGGTTTATAGACTGCAGCTCCTAGTGTTGGTATTAATTCAGCAATATTGTTGCAATAAACCAGTGAACCTTGTTGTGAAAAGTATGGTATAAATTTTTTCTCATGATTTCTGTTCCAGTAAAATGACATCCCTGGAGAAAGTCAGTTTTTAGCCCGAAGTCTGGACCCCAAAATCTCTGAAGAATCCTTTGGAAGACCCAAATCTCTCACCAAATCATTAAGTTCACCTTGTGTGAAAACCTGTGGTTCACCAGACATTTCAGGTTGAAAACAATCCCTATCATCATTTCTATTGACATCAGATTCAGAATCAGATGAAACTGTAACATGGGTCTCCGGTAGAGTAGGTACAGGTACATCAGATCCTTCAGCAACAGGTCTTATAACAGATTGAAGGTTCAGCTAAGAAATTTCCTTTTTATTTCGAGTGTTGTAGCCCTGCACGTTACATGAGCAAATATAGCAGTCATCTCCATGGTTTCTAGGCTCACCCAAGACTATTGGAATTCCAAAAGGCAAAGACTTTTTCATACTTTTAGTCCATTATCTCAACTCTTCAACTCATGATTTCTAAAATACACATAATACGCTTTTTTGACAAATTCTGTAACGTTTTGCCTTTGTTTCTTTACAACAAATTTACCACAAATATTACAGAATATGTTTAGGTCATTTACACAACCTCTTGTTGCCATAGCAATGAATAAATAATACTGAAATGAAGAAAATAATGTCAAAGTGCATACACAAACAAATACTATCCAGAAGTGACACGTCATGCTGCCTGGTAACCATTTATAAACTAGCAGTGTGTTTCTCATGGGTTCTAGAATGATCGATAAGACTCTCACATCGCGATTGGTCTAGAGAAATCTATAGGCAGTGGTTGTCAACATTTTAAGCATAACAAAATGTGACCCAATTTCAATGAAAATGATTCACTTATGTAAAAGTACATATGACGTTTTGTGAAAAAATTTGATGGAAAAAATGGATATCATTTTCGGATTCAACGTACAGAAATTACTGCAGAACATGTAAACATTTCAAGACAATAAAACCATTGCAAGCCTGTGTGATTAATTATTAAGACAGCCAAATTATACTTTCTAAAGCTTAAATAAAAACAGATTGTTTGGTATAATATTCTGTACAGTGTCTAAAAGCGTTTTTTGTATTACATCAGTAGATTTATTTGATAACTAGGCAACCATACCTTATCTTTAGATAAGTGATTTCAACCAGGAGTAGAAGAAAGGCTATCCCCCCCCCCCCAAAGGCGTTGCTACTGGTCTCAAAAATTTCAATATACTCATTTTCTGTGTTACTATTAATCCAATATTCAGCTGTTTGAAACTACTTTGGGTAGATTTTTATTTAAAAACATCAATATATTTACTAAGCTGTATAAAATATCCCATGATCTTTTCACTGGATCTCTGGAAGTAATTTTGGAACATTTAAGAAATTTCCTGAAAACCCTGTCTGCCACTGTTAGGCATCATTACTGGTTATCTATTATCTCCAATCAATACAATTTGGTAATTTTTTTTACCAAATATTTCACAACATTGCAGAAACATATTTACTTCTGTAGATAGCAGTCTTTTACATCTTGACATTAATTTTATTTGAGAAATGGTTTGTTTGTTTTGAATTTTGTGCAAAGCAACACGAGGGCTATCTGTGCTAGCCATCCCTAATTTAGCAGTGAAAGACTAGAGGGAAGACAGCTAGTCATCACCATCCACCACCAACTCTTGGGCTACTCTTTTACCAACGAATAGTGGGATTGACTGTCACATTATAATGTCCCCATGGCTGAAAGAGCGAGCATGTTTGGTGTGTCAAGCGCCCTAACCACCTGACCATACCGGGCCATTGAGAAATGGAACTTGACATACAGTCAGCCAGAACTAATATAGAATAACAAAAACAGATCATAACAAACAATGTTCTTCTAGATTACTGTTTTACTAGAACAATAAATTCAGAATAAAATGTATATTTAAAGTGCTTTTAAAGATATCAGATATAAAAGAGTACAACTCATACTCACCTTTAGTGTAATTTCAATAGTAAAAACAGAAGTAAAGAAGTAGTCAAAGTAGTTCAGAACCTGTCAACAGAAGAAGGTAAGTTAGGAAATACGTCAATAATTTTAGAAACGTAAAGATACCACACAACTTAGTGTCTACCATTAACATTAATGTGAAGTGAAACCTAACAATATGTCTGGAAGGCGTGAAAAAATACATTGTTTGACCAAATAAAATAATTAGTGTCTACCATTAACATTAATGTGAAGTGAAACCTAACAATATGTCTGGAAGG